GAATAGAAGAAACTGACACAATTAATCTTAGCTAAAAATTCAAGGTTTAATTTGCACACATTATTTAATCTAGTATCTACAAAATCATTTCAACGTGTGATCAATACCTTGCTAGAATACTTTCTGTTCTTCCATTTTGTGTTTTAAGCTGACGGCTGCATTTCAGGTGCTCAACAGCCACTTGTGGCTGGCACCCTTAATGGAACACAGAGACTCCATCCGTCCCATCCATTTGCCGGCCTGTCCACCTTCTCCCAAGCATCTTTCATAAACTCTTAGTGTCGTGAGATACACTAAAAAGTTCCTGAAGTCTACCTTCTCATTGAACAGAGTAACAGCCCAGGCTGATCAAAGGAAGTTTCTGAGCTGAAATTCAAAAAGAGCTGTAAGAGAAATTATTAGATATGGAATGTCTACTGTGAGTCAGCCCTGAGACTGCTGTGCAGATTTGTTTGTTAGGTTCTGTGCTTGCTCTTGTGTTTGATTATCCAGTTTGACTCTCCTTCCTATCTGGAAAATTTAACAGAAGTATGTTTCACAGCTGGGCACCAGTGGCTCACACCTGTAATCCTAACTACTTAGGAGGCTGAAACCTGAGCATCGCTACCCTTTGCAGAAAGGCTGTATCTCTGTGGGCACACACTGAGCATCCAGTTCAGGATGCTTCACCCTGAAACACCCAACAAAAGAGTAAAGGGGGTGGCTGTAAGGCAGGCTGTCATCTCAAGACATCCAGACGGCACATCTGCCAAAGAAACCAGGAAAAGACGCTTTTCCCTCCAGTTCAAAGAAGGATAAATTGTAATTTCTGTTAAAGTTACAAAGGGAACTTCTGCTTCAGCTGGAATTTTTTTTTAATCTACTCCAATCCTATGGTGGAGAGGCAACATCATGATTCTTGTGCTCACCAGAAATCTGAAATGACAGGATGCTAAACAAACTAAATTCCTTGAGACCAGAGCCCTGTGAGAAGGAAACCAAACACAGAAACTGCTGCTATCTGGGAAGAGTGAAGCCAATTTTTTTTAAAAAGGTGCCAGTGTCTCATACCTGTAACCCCAGCTACCTGAAAGACTGAGGAGGATTATAGTTCTGATGCCAGCCTGGGCAAAGAAATTCTCCAGACTCCATCTCCAGGGAGAAAAGGCAGATGTGGTGCCCATAAGCCTGGGATCCCAGCAAAAGTGGAACGCTGAAGGGGGATGGCAGCTCAGGCACACATTGGGTAGGAAGCAAGACCTACCTCAAAAATAACCAGCAAAAACAGGGCTGCCAGGTGGCTCACGCCGGTAAATCTGAGCTACTCAAGAAGCTGAGATCTGAGGATTATGGTTCAAAGCCATGAGACTCTTTAATTAACCAGCTGAAAACCAGAAATGGAGCTCAAGGTAGAGCACCAGCACCAGGGACAGTGTCTAGGTCCTGAGTTCAAGCCCCACGACCAACAAAAAAAAAAAAAAAAAGGAAGGAGGGGACCCTGGGGAATAGATCACCAGTGGTTCGCCTGCCTAGTAAGTGCAAGACCCTGAATTCACACTCCAGCACCACAGAGAGGAGAGGAGGTATGAGGGGAATCACTGAACATGCGACCTAGTAATTCCTGTTCTAGATACTGCCTCACCAAAGACCACGTCCACACAAAGACCCACCGTCAACAGGAAGTTTGTCAAATAATAATTCCTGTTCTAGATACTGCCTCACCAAAAACCACGTCCACACAAAGACCCACCGTCAACAGGAAGTTTATCAAATAATTAGACAAAACTGGAATTACCTCAAACCTCTATCAACTGGTCAATGGGAAAAACTATAATCCAACCAACAATAGTACAATAAAATTATGGAGAAGCAGAACAAGTTATTAATACATACAACAGCACAGCTGACAGTCCAGTGCATTCTTTTTTTTTTTTTTGGGTCCGGTCGTGGGGCCTGAACTCTGGGCCTGAGCGCTGTCCCTCAGCTCTTCAGCTGAAGGCTAGCACTCTACCACTTGAGCCACAGCACCACTTCTAGCTTTTTCTTATGTGGTGCTGAGGAATCGAACCCAGGGCCTCAAGCATGCAAGGCAAGTGCTCTACCACTGAGCCACCTTCCCAGCCCCGGTCCAGTGCATTCTAAGTCAAAGAAGCAAGATGTGAAAACAACATTCTCACAACCATACTGATTCCCCTCACAGCATGTTCTATAAAAAGGAAAAGGCAAGCTCAAAAATCAGGTCCTGCTTTCCAGGCACTAAGGACAGAGGAGAAGGGCACAGATCACTCTCTTACTGTGAGGGTATGCTCTGTACCTTGACTGCACTGCAGTCACACAGTCATGCTTTTCCAACGTATTCCCTGCACCATTTTTTTTTTTTTTGGGTCCGGTCGTGGGCCTGAACTCTGGGCCTGGGTGCTGTCCCTCAGCTCTTCAGCTCAAGGCGCCACTTCTGGCTTTTTTTTCCCCCCTGCTTATGTGGTGCTGAGGTATCAAACCCAGGGCCTCATGCATGCAAGGCAAGTGCTCTACCACGGAGCCACCTTCCCAGCCCCTCCCTGCACCATTTTTGTGTGTGAAGTGGCCTCTGAAAAGCTCTGTGTTGATGGTTTAGTCCTTGGCTGGAAACTGGGTCATGGGACAGTAACTTCATCAATGAATTGACCCACAGATGGGTTCATGCTGAATGGGCTTGCATGTGAGGCTGGCGGGAGGAAGTAGCTAATGAAGGGCTTATCTTGTGAGGCACCTTCCTGCCTTTCTGCTTCCTGGCCAACCAGGAGGTGAGCCGTCTGTGCCACACGCTCCCACCTCTATTATGTTCCTGTCTTGCTTCAGTCCTGAAGCAGTGGAGCTAGGCAACATGGATTGAGATCTCTGAAGCTGTGAGACAAAATAAAGTCTTTCCTTCTTCAACTTGCTTACATCAGAGATTCTGTCGCTGTGGTGGATGGAAAGCTATACAATTCAATGCCCAAAAAGGTGAATTTTACTGGACATAAATTGTAATAAATCTGAAGCTACAGGAAAAAGTAGGTAATGGTGAAATGGTTAAGACTGAAGATGGAAAAAACTATTGTCAAAGCATCTGATAATAGACTACTATCAGAAATATATAACGATGTCCACAACAGAGTTCTTTAAGCAACTAACCCAATTCAAAAAAGGCTAGAGGCCTAAAGAGGTATTTCTCAGCCATAGATATACTGGTGGGCGGTAAGCCCAGACAACGTTGACTGACATCATCAGTCATTTGGAGAATGCAAATCAAACCACAATAAGGTACCACCTCATACCCCTTAGGATGGCTACTGTCAAAAAACAAAAACAGGGGCACTAGTAGCTCATGCCTGTAATCCTAGCTACTCAGAAGGCTGAGATCTGAGGATTGTGGTTCAATGCCAGCCTAGGCAGGGAAATCAGGAAAACTCTTATCTCCATTTAACCAACAGAAAACCAGAAGTGGTACTGTGGGGCAAAGTGATAGAGCACTAGCATTGAGCAAAAAAGCTCAGGGACAGCAACCATGCCCTGAGTTTAAATCCTATAACCAAAAAAATAAATAAATAAAAATCCAAAACAAGGGAGAGGGGGGAAACTGGGGAAATAATGTACTCAATTCCTGACTTATGTCATGGTGACCCCTCTATGTAACACCTTAATAATAACAATAAAATTGTATTTTCAAAAAGATCCAAAACAGTAAATGCCGTCAAAGATGTGGAGAAACTGGAACTCCTGTGCTCTGCCAGGAAGGAGGAGAACGGTGTGCCCGCTGTGGAGATCAGGAGAGCAGCCTCTCCAAGACTGAAAGTAGAGATGCGTGATCAAGGCACATCATATACATGCATGGATGTGGCAAAAGGAAAATTCCTTGGCACAACTAACTGATGCTAACATGGGAAAAGAGAAAACATGAATGAGGGCAAATGGGGGTGAAGCACTTGATATGCATGTAGTAGATTAAGATGGAGCGATCGTTTTAAGAAGGAGGGAATAAGGGCTGGGAAGGTAGCTCAGTGGTAGAGTGCTTGCCTTGCATGCATGAGGCCCTGGGTTCGATTCTTCAGCACCACATAAGCAGAAAAAAAAAAGCCGGAAGTGGCGCTGTGGCTGGAGTGGTAGAGCGCTAGCCTTGAGCTGAAGAGCTGAGGGACAGCGCCCAGGCCCAGAGTTCAGGCCCCATGACCGGAC